GATGCTGCTTGGCCTGCTGTGTTCATCCAGCCCTGCACCTTGTTGTCTCGGATTCTCCAGCATCTGCAGTTCCTACTATCTCTGATAAATCACTGGTTAGTTTTAGGCATAAATTTGCTGCTTCTTCCCCAGCCAACTTACATTAGGCTTTTAGACCAACGTCAGAATTCTGATCCGAAATTTGTCGGATCCAAAATGTTTGGAAACTTGGGAAGACCAATTGTAATCCTGATCCGGATCAACAACAGGTTTCCTGTAAAACCCAGAGGATAAAACGCAGCCCGTATAATTGTGGTGCAAACCTGGGGCTTAATGACCCTGGTGTCTGTAACACACATGTGCGTGCAAAAACATGTCAGGAAGGGACCGATTAGAGCAAGTGGCCAGGGAGAGGGGAACAGGGAAGACAACCAAAGTCCAATGTGAAGGATCCAATCCTATTTTTAATTGGGCTGGTCAGTTACAGGTTGGATTGCCAATTTGGGCAGGATCACTCAAATTTTTCAGGGTTTGACCTCCACGTCACGTTGGCAAGCAACACCCAAAGAGAAACCCAGGGACAAATTATTTGAACACTTCTGCTCATAAAATTACTGGAGGTGGGAGAAAGGCTGCTTGACTGGTCATGTGCTGCATCTTTTGGGAACATGTTTGAGCAGCACTTTGGCTCACAGGGAATCCTTTGGAAAGTTAGGATTTATAAATATTATAAAACAACCTGCTCAGAGACATAATCACACACTTTCAGAGTAGGTGGGGCTTGAACCTGGGCCTCCCACCTCAGAAGTAGGGCCAGCTCCAATGCACAATAATATTTTCCAATGACCCATTCTGGACTCCCATAGTTGGGTTTGTTTCTGTCGGGATCCCAATATTTTCGTTAGCTTCAACAATAAGACATCATTAGGCTGCAACTTTCCACAGTAAAAAAGGACCCCATTGTATGGTGACAGAGTCAAGCCTGTTATTTTGGGATGTGAGTTGATTTGTCAGATGGTGTGTACACCTCAGGGACAAACAAAGATAATATGAAATAGGAACAGGAGAAGGCCCTTCAGCCCCTTTTTATCTGCTTCTCCTTTCAATAAGACTCAACTCAGCTCATCTTCCACTATCCCTCAATTCACCTTGTACCCAGAAATCCATTCATCTCAGACTTGAAAAGACTCAAAGACACAATCCACAACACTCTGAGGTAAAATTGCATGAAGAATGGTTGGCTTTTAACTGCCCCCTGGCCAATTAGGGATTGGCAACAAATGCTGGCCTAGCCGGTGATGCCCTTACCCTGTGATGCCCTTACCCCGGGATGCCCTTACCCCGGGATGCCCTTACCATGTGAATGAATCCAGAAAAGGTTCCCTCACCTCAATCCTAAATGATCTATGTCTTACTCTGGGACCACAGTCCCATGTTCTGCATTCTCCGGGCAAGGGTTCCACCTTGTTAAGGAACTATTTCAGTCTAACTTTCTACTGGGCTAGGAGTGTGGGAAAGAAACACCTCTTTTTTACGGTTTTAAATTTGATGTTGCTGTTGTTTTCAGAATGTGGTGTTACAGATGGTGTATGTTTTGTTCAGCGAGTGGGAGTTTACCACCAGGAGGCACACTCACAAAGCACAGTGACACAGATACACACAATGTACCTACTTGTCCGACTGCCACTTATCACAAAGCCTTGCGTGTGGAATCCAGGTTTCTATGGAAACACCTGCATGACAACGGCATTGACACTACAGTGATGAGATGGAGCAAAAATAAACTTGTGCGGAACTGAACTAAAATGGAAGGAAATAAAAAGAAATTTGAAATTAAATAAATAAAGCGAAATTAAATCATAAAGCCAAGTCTGATATTGTTTTGGAGAGAGGGGAGGACTTGTCCCCATACCTACCTGTACATTGGGACAGTCAGAGTTTGCTCAAAGCACTGCCAAGTAGCATGTAGGTCTGTCCGACACAGACTGGTCGAGTAATATCGCCAGGCAGCCTTTGTGTGAAACAGAGAAATGCAAAGATTATTAGATTATTCTTCTTAGAGTTGTAGACTTTCCCACCCTTTATCTCTGCAACACCTGGATCAGTGTTCAAACCAGCTGACCTTGGTTCCCTCTGGCCTATGGAAGCCCAAAAGCAGCCTTGGCCATCCCATTGGGTTTCCCTCAAGGCAATTAATCCAATTCTCCAAATTTATCAATGCTATTTCATGATGCACCATTGGTCCTTCTAGCCCAGTGCCCTTTCACCTTTGTTCGTAAGCATGGAGCACATCTGTCTTACCTGGATGAGACCAGCTGCAGGATTCCTCCGCTTCTCAAAATGTTTCTGCCGATGTTGCTCCTGAACCTTCAGAGCAAAGCCAGAACCCAGAATTCCCTGGATAACAAGATAAAACATCAGGAAGAGCTCCTCCATGGTTTCCATCTTGAACACTGAGACCAACAGATTGTTGTTGGGCAAGCGTTTTAAGAGGAAAGGAAGCAAGGAGGGTACATGGAGTTGAGGTAAACATTGGTCATTAACTCACAAAATAGGAGAAGAGATTGAGGTGCTGAAGGGCCTCCTGTTCCTATGTTTTGACAATTGCACTTCAAAGGAAGTAGGTACAGCTTGTAGTCAAGAGCTAACAACTAAACCCTGGCAGTCAGGAACTCTCAATTCTATCTCTGTAGATGGGCAGTTGAAGTTAGCTACGGGACCAAGAGGTTAATTGAAATCCTCAGGTGGAGTTAGAGTGGACTCAGGGAAATGAGCTTCTGAATGTGGCAGCAAAAATCAGATCAATAAGGATGTTAACCAGGAGTACAGGCAGCTTTTGATGCAATCCTAATCCTGATTCGTCAGTAACCACTCTCCTCATATCTCCGCTCTCCTGCATTCACTGTTACCCACTGAATTGTAAATCACCTACACTACACACTCTGGACCAAACATTTGGATCAGCACATTCCCGGAACAGAAAGGTTTGCTGAAGTGTTACAATACCAATCCAGTGCTGGTCCCTCAATGTCCAAACTCCCAATTTTGGTGAATTAAAATCCTGGAGAATGTTTATATTTATTTCAGTATTTCAAACCCTTAACTTGCTTGTGAGCCACTTAGCCAGGCTTCCCTTGACAATCAAATCTCATCAAAATCAATGCCCCAGATGGTTTAACTCAACTACCTTCACAAAACATCCCCACTCAATCCCTTCCTTGAACTAATAACATAGACATTAGCAATGCTGTAAATAATTACTCATTATCTCTCCTTTCACTTTTTCAATCCTCCTTTCCTTCAGTCATTCTTTTTCTCATTTCTCTCTTCAACTGTTTCTCTCTCCTCTCTCAGTTCAATGCCAGTATCTTGACCCAATGACAATGAAAGAAAGATCAATAAATGATCAAACAAGTCATGAAGGAACCTTTTCCCTTCTTGGTGAGGGAGTTTAGATTCAGACAGGTTAGGATCTGGCAAGAGTTGGAATCTAGGTGGGGATCTGGATCAGGATCTGGTCAGGGTTAGCTCCCGCACGGCAGTCAAGATCCGTATGGAGGTTCAGATCTGGATGGAACTGGGATCCAGATAGGTTGGGATCTAGATCAGAGTCCCAGTCCAAGTGGTGGTTGGGATCAGGTGGGGAGATCTGGATCCTGATGACAGTTGGGATCCAGTGGGAGTGTGATCCAGTTAGGTATTCAGATCCAGTCAACAGTCGGGATCAAACCAGAGGTGAGGGTGGGGATAGGGCCTTGAACGCAGATGGAAGCCCAGGCTGACGCAGAGCACCGCGATATTCACTCCTCCCTGTGTACTGCTTACCGCCGGCAAAGCAAAGAACGATACCCCGATGAGAGTAAACGTTGCAGCCAAGAGTCGACCATTCCATGTGACTGGATACTTGTCACCGTATCCAATGGTTGTCAGGGTAATCTGTAGAGATACATCAGGCCACAAATGAAAAGCCAGTTGCACAGAAGTGACAATGAAGCTGCTGGATTATGTAAAGTCCCAACTCCCTCACTAAAGTCCTTTTGGTCATTTGAAACAATGTACAACTTTACATTTAATTTATATACGCTTTTGTGTTCAGAAGTGGGGGAGACATGGTTTGAGATTCATATTTAGAGTTGTGCTTGTGAGATCGGTGCAGAGAATTTGGGAGACTTTGCGTGCAATTTTAAAGAGATTTTACAGACCTTGAAATGAAGAGATGGGGATAAGTAGTTTAGTGCATTAAAAAAGGAGATAGAATACACTGTGCTATTGCCTAGAAACAGGAATTCAGAAGCACAAAGATGCAGAAAGGTCCAGGAGGGAGTGTATGCATATATGTCAGGGAGTGCAGACAGGAGTATATAGTTTGTAATCCTGAAACTGTTGGAAATTGAGTTTAGGGAACTTGAATTTGCTCTGAAGTTAACAGTGAGTACAGTTTACAGTTTATTTTAGGTGTCTCAGGGAGAACTACCAGCTGAAGAAACATCATCTACTGAACATGCTGAAATTTACAGAAAAGAAACCAGTTGCCAAACTGAGCGAGAAGGTTTGGTATGGAGCTGGTCATGAATCTGCAGCGTTTTTGTGACTGATAAGGATATTGCTCAGATATAGGAACAGCATGAGTTTGAATCCTTTTCCAATATTGTGATGAAATCATTCCAACCTTTTTGTCCAGTGTAATTTCTTTTTTCTTGTTTAATGTACATTTTATTATTTGTGTTAAAAGTACAGAGACAGCCGCTTGCAAATGTGATGTATAATTGTCCTCCACAGTTAAAAAAAAACACAAAGTTAGGGTCTGAAAAGCTGGGTTTCACTCCTGATCTGACTTGCCTATATTCATATCAGCTGAGATAATAACAAGGGAAGAAAAACTGCTATCCTCACCTAGTCTGGGTCTGTATGTGACTCCAGTCCCCGTGACAACATGGTAGATTTCACGTCTCAGGGCAACAAATACCAACCTTGCCAGTAATGGAGATGAATACCAGCAGGTGCTGGCAGCAGCGAGTCCTGGAGTGCAAGCTGGAACACCGCATGAGCCGCATGTCCTGGAGCAGCGCATGGGGAATCCCAAGTCCCGGAGCAGCGTGAGGTGAGGTGTATCCCAGTGGAGTGCGCATTACCTTGTTGCTGCAGAGTGCCGGTGAGGTGAGGACTGGAGGCTAGTGTGATGCGGGACAGTTGTTGAACTTGGGCCTGGCACCACATGCTGATTTGCTGCTGTTTGGTACACTTACTGGGCTGTAAGGTAAACCCTTCCCTTTCAATCCTCTGGTATAACAACATTATTTTTTTCTTATTTTGTAAGATTTATACCTAGGTACTTATACCTAAGATGCTGCCATTAAAAGGCAGCCATTGTAAAAATACAATAAAGGATATTCTATACATTCTATATTCTAATGCCCACGTCCCAAAATTGAATCAAAAGTGAAGAAATAAAAGACCAGAAGCTTGTCCAAAAGAGAGAGCTCCAGGGTGGTGTTGAAGAGGTGAAAGTGATAGTGAATTGGAGAGAGTTAGGATGGAGTTTGAGATGATTGAAGAGTAGTGGCTGGGCTGTTAGCTGCTCATCTCTCCAGGCATCACAATAAAACCAGGAGGTAAAGTCTGTCACTGGGGCATCTTGCATCGAATAGCATCCCAAACCATGTCAACTTCTATCAAATTGCTGAACTTCAGCCAATGAATGCAATTCACAGTTTCTGAATTGTTTTATCCACTCAGGAGACTCAGCCACTGGATGTCTCCATTGGGGGAATGTAGACACAGTTCATAGAATCCCTACAGTGTGGAAGCAGGCCATTCGGCCCATCAAGTACACACCGACCCTCTGAAGAGCATCCCATCCAGACTCACCCTCTATCCTATCCGTGTAACTCTGTATTTCCCATGGCTAACCCACTTAGCCTGCGCATCCCTGGACACTGTGGGAAATTTAGCACAGCCAATGCACCCCAACCTGCACATCTTTGGACTGCAGGAGGAAACCGGACCAAATGAAGTAATCCCATGCAGACACAGGGAGCATGCGCAAACTCCACACAGACAGTCACCTGAGCGGGTTCCTGGTCCTGTGAGGCAGCAGTGCTAAGCACCGAGTTACCAAGCCACCCAGCACAAAGGGTCCAGTTCTATCTGCCAAGGATGGAAACATACAAAATAGGAGCAAAAGTAGGCCATTCGGCCCTTCAAGCCTGCTCCACCATTCAATATGACCATGGCTGATCATTCAGCACAATATTGTAATGCCACCCTTCCCCCATATCCTTTGATCCCTTTAGCAACAAGAGCTATCTCTACCTCCTTCTTGAAAACACAACATTTTGACCTCAGCCACTTTCTGTGGCAGAGAATTCCTCAGGCTCACCACTCTCTGGGTGAAGAAATTTCTCATCATCTCAATCCGAAAAGGTTTATCCTTTGTCCTTAATCTATGACCCCTGGTTCTAGACTCTCCCCACCATAAGGAACATCCTTTCTGCATCTAACCTGTCTAGTCCCGTTAGAATTTCAATGAGATATCCCCTCATTTTTCTGAACTCCAGTGAATACAATCCTGACCAACTCAACCTCTCAGTTTGGGAAGCCTTTGCTGCATTCCCTCTATAGCAAGAATATCTTCCACGGATAAGGAGTTAAAACTGCACACAATATTCCAGATGTGGTCTCACCAGTGCCCTGTATATTTGCTGCAAGACATCCTTGTTCCTGTGCTCGAACCCTCTTGCTATGTAGGTCAATTTGACTTCTACATTGCCTGATGCATCTGCATGTTTACTCTCAGTGATTGGTGCACAAGGAAACCCAAGTCCCATTGAACATCACCCTCTCTCAACTTACAGCCATTCAGATACTCAGCTCCCTGTCACTCAGCGAAGCTCAGAACTCAAGCACAATAACTTGGACAGAGATGAAAACACTCACCAAACCCCACCAGAGAGCATCTGCATACGTTGCAAAATCTTGATTGTCATCCTTCTCGGCGAGATAGACCAGGAAGGAGGCGAGAATGAGACACAGGAAGCCAATGTACCAGGCAGTGATCAGCTCCTGAAAGGCATTGGGCACAGTGAGGAGATAGAGGGAGTGAGACAGGAAGAAACAAGACAAACAGCTGGAACTGAAGTGTGAGAATCAAGGAAGTGAGACATGAGACATGGAGAAAAAAAGAAAAGACTTGCATTTATATAGCAACTTTCACAACGTCATGCTGTCTCAAAACACTTCACAGCCAATTGAGCGTTTTATGAAGAGGAGTTACCTCAGTTAATTAGCAAATGCAGCAAGCACATAGAAATGGTAATGTGACAAACCATTAGATTATACCAACAGGGAGCAGGAGGAGGCCATTCAGCCCCACCCGCCTGTTCTGCCAGTTGATAACACCATAGAATCCCTGCAGTGTGGAAACAGGCCCTTCAGCCCAACAAGTCCACACCGAACCTCAGAGCATCCCACCCAGACCCATCCCCCTATAACCCACCTAATCTACACCTCCCTGAACACTATGGGCAATTTTAGCCTGGCCAATCCACCTAGCCTGCACATCTTTGGATTGTGGGAGGAAACCGGAGCACCCGGAGGAAACCCACGCAGACACAGGGAGAACGTGCAAACTCCACACAGACAGTCGCCCGAGGCGAACCCGGGTCCCTGGCACTGTGAGGCAGCAGTGCTAACCACTGAGCCACCGTGCCACCATGGCTATTATCCTTTTCATTCTGATACTCTGATTCCTTCATCAGTCAAGAATCTATCTCTGTCTTAAAGATATTCAATGATCCTGCTTCCACTGTTCTCTGGGAAAGTGAGTTCCAGACTAACTACCCCGAGAGGGAGACAAACAATTCCTGGTCTCTGTCTCAAATGGCAAATTTTTTTTTTAAACTGTGTGTCCTACTTTGAGTAAAGTATCCGTTTTAATGAGGCTGGCTGACGAATTAAACAGTGAGCCCAGGATTCTGGGCTAACTATCCCTTCTCTTCAAAATAGTACAGTGGGATCTTCTGGAAGGACCGGTCCTGCTGAAAATCGATGCTTTTACAGTTGAATAGCCCACAATGCACATGCACAAATGGCCATTAATTAGCAAAGACCTATTAGCCAATGCAAAACCTGATTCTAATCTATCCACATACAAAGAGTTCAAATTGCTCGGAGGGATTAATTTAGAGAAGAGAAAGAACCCAGGGAACAGACCAGGGCCAACACTGCGCTGCCCAGGATGCCCCAGCTGTATTTCCCAGTTGGCACCAGTCTGGACTGTGGCTGGGTTCCTGGCCTGAGGGTGTACGTCAGCCACCCATTGCACAGTCCACCCAGTGCCAACCAGTTAGGGACTGGGAACATGTTGCTGAGGGCTAGAGGGTCAATCAGATTGCAAAGGCCTTGGGCAGCAACAGGAACCTCACCGGGAGAGGCAGATGCTACCCGTGTAGGTGGGAGAGCATGGGGAGGGTTTGGGCGTGACGGTGCTCTCTGAGGAATGCAAAGACATGTCAAACTAAGTGTATTCTATGGCTGAGCCGAGGACATCACCTCCACCCAATACATACAGTGCTCCGTACACAGGAGGCAGCTCCAACCCAGGGCTGATCCCTTCTCCCCCCAACCCCTCACTAATAAAGTCATCGTCATAGGGCCATAGAGGTCAACAGCATAAGAAAGCCTTTCAGACCATCTGTGCCAGTCAGAACCAACCACCTCACTATTCTCTAATCCCATTTTCCAGCTCTTGGCCCATAGCCTTGTACACCCTGGTATCAAACTGCACATCTAAATACTCCCAAATAATCCCTGGGATCAGCAGGCTACCTGCAGAGAATAAACTGGGTCTGTATCCTGCAGAGTTTAGTAGAGTCAGAGGTGATTTAATTGAAACATTTAAGATCCTGAGGGGTCTTGCCCAGCAGGATGTGGAAAGAATGTTTCCTCTTTTGGGAGAAGCTAGAAGCATGGGTCAGAGTTTAAAAATAACAGGGCTCCCATTTAAAACAGAGATGGGGAAACATTTTTTTTCTCTGTCAGAGGGTTGAGAGTCTTTGGAATTCCCTTCCTTAAAAGGCAGTGGATGCAGAATCTATGAATATTTTTAAGGCAGAGGAAGATACATTTTTAATGACCGAGGGGATGAAAGATTATCGGGGAAATGCAGGAAGGTAGAGTTGAGGGTAAAGTCGGATCAGCCATGATCATATTGAATGGTGCAGCAGGCTCAAAGGGCCGAATGGCCTACACTAGTTCCTTGTTCATTTTCTCATGGACTTTGCTGGAACGGACACTCTCTCTCCACTCATCCCAGGGGGCTACCCCAGGAGCAGAAATGTGCAGAGACACCTTCTGATCTGGCCCCCCTCCTCCTTCGCTGCATTCACAGCCTCCAGCTCCCTCTCCACAGGCCCATACCCATTAACTCCATATCTCTCTCCACATGCGCTGCACTCCAGTGTATTTCAGATATTTTCCTCTCATTGTCAGCAGGTTTCAGTGTGATGCTGCAACACAGATTAAGTGCCACCAGTCTCTGAAGGGAGGACTGCGAGCAGATTTGGTCACTAAATTGAAGTAAGGATGGGGACAGGGCAGCAAAGGTTCACTCACTCAATCTGGGGGAGAAGAGGGGTAGAGCTGTCCTCTGATGGGAGATTGAGTAATTTGGGTCTATATTCCCTGGAGTTGCGGTGATTTCATTGAAATATCCCAGTTCCTGAACGGGCTTGACAGGGTGGATACTGAGAGAATGTTTCCCACGGGCAATGCTCTGTGCAGGGCACAGTCTCGGGATAAGGAGCTGATCATTTAGTACTTTTTTAAATTAATTCATGAGATGGCTCAGCCAGCATTTACTGCCCATCTTTAATTGCCCAGAGGACAGTTGAGAGTCAATTATATTGGAATGGGTCTGGAGTCACATGGAGGCCAGACCAGGTAAGGATGGTAGTTTCCTTCCCTGAAGGACACTAGTGAACCAGATGGGTTTTTCCCGACAATCATCGAGGTTTTCATGATCAGCATTGGCTAGTTAATTCCAAATTTTATTGAATTCAAACTCCACGTGGCAGGATTTGAACCCAGGTTCTCAGAACATTGCCTGACTGTCTGGATTAATAGTCTAGTGATAATGTCACTAGGCCATTGCCTCCCCACTGAGATTAGATGAAATATCTTCACTGAAAATATTGGGAGTTCTCTACCCGAGAGAGCTCTGGCTGCTCCCAGTTGGTGAGAGTGTTCAAGATTGAAGGAGCTGGAATTTTGATCTCACCAGGAATGAAGGAATGGGAACATACGGCTCAGCCATTGTTCCACTGAATGGCGGAGCAGGCTCGATGAGCCAATGGCCTACTCTTGCTCCTACTCCCCGAGTCCTGCTCACCATCCCTCTCACAGAGTTACCTTGCTGTGTGCGTAGACAACCGATCCCAGCAGCTTCCAGGTGCCCCCTCTCCGATCCATACGGATCATCCGTAAGATTTGGAGAAACCTCAAGCTCCTCAGCGCTGATGTGGCAAAGACATTGCCCTGTGTCCCTGCTGCAAGGACAGCTATTGAGGCCACAAGAACCATGACATCTAGAAAGGGAAAGGCAGGTCAAACAAAATCACTTGACTGAAGTGCCAGCCACCCCTCAAATCCAACATGTTCGACCATTCCATAAAGTGTTCCAATTTCCCCCACTCCCTTTCCCTAACTATGGGAGTTAATGATAGCTCTTTAAACTGGGAAGTGCTGACAGTTACAGTGTGGGAGGATAAAGTTGTGAGTTTGACTAGCTCCTGCTTTTAGGTTTCAATATCAGCAACTTGTGAAGGAAAGTGGCTGAGGGTTTTCCCAGCTGACAGCTTCAGGGAGTGAAAGGGTCCTGAGGCGTGGGTTTGAGGAGGTATCCTGTATCCATCAGTAAATGCAGCAATGTAAAACAAACTGAAAACAGGGCTTACTGGAATAAAAGAGAGACAGATAGAAAGAGGGAGAGAGAGACAGACAGAGACAGAATGACAGAGAGAGAAAAAAACAAAGAGGGGGTAGAGACAGTGGGATAGACAGAGAAAGTGAGAGACAGAAAAAGAGAAAGTGAGAGACAGAGAGAGAGAGAGACAGAGCGAGTGAGAGACAGAGAGAGCAAGTCTGGGACAATTACACAGAGAGAAACAGACAGACAAAGAAGGAGACAAAGGCAGAGGCACACAGAACACGCACGGGGGAGAAGAACGGGCAGAGAAGGAGAGATAGTGGGAAAGACAAGACAGTGGGTCAGAGAGAATGAGAGAGAGACAATGGAAAAGAGAGAGACACACAAATAGCAAGACAAAAAGACAGTGGGAAACCGAGACTGACAGATGAAAAGCGAAACAGAGAGGCATACTGAGGAATGGAGAGATAGTGGGAGAGACAGCGAAAGAACAGAGAGAATGAGAGAAACAGACAAAGAGACAGGGATAGCTACAGAGAGACACAGAGACAGAGGCAGAATCTAACAGTGAGGCAGACAGATGAAGAGGAAAATAGAGTGATAGAGAAATAGTGGCAGACACAGCAACGGAGACGGGTACAGCCTGAACAGACAGAAAAAGACACAAAGAGAGAGAGAGAGAGAAAGGCTCAGGTATTTCAGAAATCTTTGGAGCAGTATAACTGGAGTTGCATATCAAAACCATGCAGAATCCTCCAGGCAGCAGGCTCTGTAGGAATTGCCCAGAAAATTGAATTTTCCAATGGGCAAACTTCCTGTGTTTGGAATCTTCTGAAAGAGTCCATTATGTAAGAGATCGCATCTTCCTAATTTTGGGCTGAAAATGAAAAAAAAAGGACACTGTTTTAAAAAGGGGAGAATGTACAAGGAGTTGTTTGTCACGTGAAGCTGACTGATCTCACAGGGGAAAATGTTTCTTCTTGGGGACATCAAACCCAGAAAAATTGGCACCATATCAGGAGAGCTCAGCATAGTAACAACCGTCTGATTGGTCAGGTTTCAGTTTAACCCAGACTATGCAAGGGGAGTGAAATACAGAGAAACAAGGGAACTGCTAGCAGTAACTACATCCATTTATCTCTCTCCCATTTCTCTCTTAGTCACTTTTTCCAAATTTCTGTCAAAAGTGCCGACAAATTGAATTTAGAGAAGCTGAAGGAAATAAGTCTATAACCCAACACCAAAAGTAAACCCAACGGAGATAACAGGCTGGTTATCACTGTGCAGATAACATCAAGGCTTCAGCAGGGATTTGAAAGGATTGGGAAACCAACTCAACAGGGTTATATGTTTATTATGTTTTCCCTATGTGTGTGTGTTTGTGCCTTTTTTTTCCCCTTTATTCATTCACAGGATGAGGGCATCACTGGCCAGGCAGCATTTATGCCCATCCCTAATTTGCCAGGGGGCATTTAAGAGTCAACCACATTGCTGTGGGTCTGGAGTCACATGTAGGCCAGACAAGGTAAGGATGGCAGTTTCCTTCACTAAAGGACATTAGTGAACCAGGTGGGTTTTTCCCAACAACTGGCAATGGATTCAGAGTCATCATCATTCGATTTTTAATTCCAGATATATTATTGAATTCAAATTCCACCATCTGTCGGTGGTGAGATTTGAACCCAGGTCCCCAGAACATTTATGGGTCTCTGGAATAACAGTCCAGAGATACTACCACTAGACCATCACCTCCTCAGTGTGTGTGTGAGAGTGTGTGGGAGACAGTGTGTGTGTGCGTGTTCATGTATGTGTGCGTGCGTGTGTGAGTGTGTGCGTGTGTGTGTGAGTGTGTGTGAGACAGAGAGAGAGAAAGAGTTTGTGTGCGTGCGTGTGTGTGTGTTAGTGTATGCGAGTGTGTGTGTGCACGTGCATGTGAGTGTGAGCGTGTGTGTGCATGTTAGTGTATGCGAGTGTGTGTGTGCGTGTGCGCGAGTGTGTGTGAGAGAGAGAGAAAAAGTGTGTGTGTGAGTGAGTGTGGGAGAGTGTGTGTGTGTGTTAGTGTATGCAAGTGTGTGTGTGTGTGTGCGTGCGTGTGAGTGTGTGTGTGCGTGTTAGTGTATGTGAGTTTGTGTGTATGTGTGTGTGTGTGAGTGTGTGTGTGAGAGAGAGAAAGAGTGCGTGTGGGAGAGTGTGTGTGTGTGTTACTGTATGCGAGTGTGTGTTAGTGTACGCGAGTGTGTGTGTGAGTGTGAGTGTGTTTGTGTTAGTGTATGCGAGTGTGTGTGTGTGTCTGCGCGTGCATGTAAGTGTGTGTGTGTTAGTGTATGCGAGTGTGAGTGTGTGCATGAGTGCGAGTGTGTGTGTGTGTGTGTGTGAGAGAGTGTGCGCGAGTGGGTTTGTGTGTTTGAGTGAGATCGTGTGTGTGAGAGTATGTATGTGTGTAAGAGCGTTTATGGGAGAGACAATATGTCAGAGTGTGTGTATGTGTATGTGTGTGCATATGAGAGAAAGAGTGCGTGTGTGTGTGTGTGAGAGAGAGTGTGTTTGTGAGGTAGAGAATGTATGTATATGTGTCTGTGTATGAGAAAAAGAGTGTGTGTGTGTGTGTGATTGAAAGAAATAGAGAGAGTGTGTATGAAAGAAAGTATGTGTATGTGTGTGCCTGCACCTGTGAAATAGGGAGAGAGAGTGTGTGTGTGGGTGTGTGTGCGGGTGTGTGTGTGGGTGTGTGTGTGAGACAGAGTGTGAGATTAGATTCACAAATATCTGTGGTAACCACACAGCCTTTATCATTCTGGCTCCCTGGATGTGGCCTGACATTATTCTAATATTCTGTTGTTAATATCAATTTGAGAAAATTGTGCATTTGGTCTACCTCTCAAAAATTCTGAAAACTATTTGACTAAGAGTGGTATCACCCCTCAGAACAATGCTCCGCTTTGGAAAATGTTACCGGTTGCAGTTCCCAGCTGCATTCAGCAAACGTGTCCAGGGGTAGGAACCACTGCCGGCAGGATTTTTTATTCCCGTGGCCCAAAGTGAGACTGTCCAAGCCAGGTAGCCACCAGGGAACAAGCGCAGGATCTTCCTGTGCAGCTCAAGTAAAGTGGCATCCTTCAGGGGAAAGGGGATAGGTGACTGCATCCACTCACCGATCACACAGAACGGTTTTCGTGCAAACTTCAGTCGCCCTCGCCATCCTCGATATCGACAACAGCACCCAGCAGACCAAATCCGTACCATGTACTCCACACCAAAGACCACAATTGTCACTATTTCCTGCAGCGTGAGAAGAGAAACAACAATTCTCAGATCACCCTGAACCTGAAAGCTCAACTCGTGTCTTCCAAGCATCTACAGAACCTTGGTTAGGTCGCAGTAAAATGCCATCGTTCTGGGTCTCCATGCTAACGAAAGGATATTGGAGATACCACAAAGAACCAATTGATAATAATAAGGCCAGAATTGGGAGGTCATAGCCCTCTCAGAAAAGCCTGAACAGCCTGGAGATTTTTGTTTCCCCTCGAAGGCCCAATGGTTAAGGAGTGGCCTGATAAAATTTGGAAGGGCATTTTAATCAGATAGATGAAACGAAGATGTTACCATTTGTCTGGAGCCCAAAGCTAAGGGTTATCAATGTTTGATAATCACTCTTAAATCTAATAGGGAACTCAGGACCTGCTCCAGGTGGACCCAAATATTTTGATACATTGACTGGAAGCTGGACTAACACAATGAGGCAGAAAGGAATCACAGGACAGGATAAGATTAACGAGGTAGGCTCAAGGAGCCTCATGAGGCGTCAACAATGGGATAGACTCATTGGGCTGAATGGCCATTCCTGTGCTGTAAATACTTCAGTAAGTAATCTTCAGTAAATACACACCTCAACCATACAGCCATATGAGACAGTGAGCAATTCCATGCCAACAGCGATCACACAAAAGACATGACTTGCATTTATATAATGTATTCACGTCTTTGAGAAATTTTTCAAACATTGTGAGAGTTTGACAGTGATTGTTGAATCATCCCTCAGAGCACAGGGATTTGTGGGCACTTCTGATCAGCTTGTTTAAAAGGATTGGATCCATATCCCTGACAGAATCATACAGTCCCTACAGTATGGAAGCAGGCCATTCAGCCCATCGAGTCCATGCCAATCTCCAAAGAGCATCCCACCCAGACCCACCCCCCTACACCATCCCTGTATGCCTGCATTTCCCATGGCCAACTCACCTAGCCTGCATATCCCTAGACACTATGGGCAACTTAGCATGGCCAACCCACCTACTCTGTACATCTTTGGACTGTGGGAGGAAACCCACGCAGACATGGGGAGAATGTGCAAACTCCACGCAGACAGTCGCCTGAGGGTGGAATTTGAACCCGGATCCCTGGTGCTGAGAGGCAGCAGTGCTAACCACTGAGCCACTCTCGACTGTAGTATTGAAAGCTTTAGCTAACTCACCCTCTCCTCAGGAGGAGATTTCCAGATTTCCATTCTGTGCTTTGTGTGAGGGAGCGGTTCCTGACATCACCTCTCACTAGCCTAGCTCAGATTTTACGGCTGTTCCTCTTTGGTGTGCTCCCCCCCCACCAGAGGAAACCGCTCCCTCCATCCAATCAAACTCTTCATTTATCCTAAACATCCCCATTAGATTACCCCAAACATGGTGCTCCTCTCTGAAGACAGTTCCATCCTGTTACTAAAAATTCTTAGAATCGTAGAACAGTGCGGAAGCAGGACATTCAGCCCATTAAGTCCATACCGACCCATTGAACAGCGTCCCATCCAAAACCATGCCACTACCCCATCCCTGTAATCCTGCATTTCCCATTGCTAACACACCAAGCTGGATTGGCCATGCTAAATTGCCCATAGGGATGTGTAGATTATGTGGGTTATACGGGGATGGGTCTGGGTGGGATGCTCTGAGGTTCGGTGTGGACTTGTTGGGCCAAAGGGCCTGTTTCCACACTGTAGGCCTTCTATGATTCTATATCCCTGGACACTGTGCAATTTAGCATGCACCTAACCTGCACATCTTCAGACTTCTTGTGTTCCCTAACCAGAGCAAGCAATACCCATACTTCACCTCATATTGGAATCTGAGCAGGACCAGCTCTGCTTAGTCACACAGTTAACAGTTGACGTTACTCACCAGTATGTACAGAGCTCCTTCTGATCGCTGTTCATACTCCTTGATCGTGGAGAAGACTGATAGTACCAGGCAAGAGAAGACCAGTAAAAAACTACAAAGTACAAGGGAGGAAATTACAGTGAGTTAACCAGCTGTCTGAAGTAACAATTGGATAAACACTCTGCGCTGAAAGCCAGAGGCTATCACCTTGCACTGAGCTATCACATTGGGATGATGCCAAGGAGGAAACAAGGAGCAGAGAGTTTTAGGGAAGACATTCGAGAGCGTGGGGCCTGGACCATTGATAGCATGGCCACTACTGACACAGCAATGAAAATCAAGCATTGCTCAAGAGGCCAGAATTAGAGGAGCACAGATTGTCAAGGACTCTGGGACTGTGAGGGTTTATAAAGATTGCAAAAGACAACAGATGGATTTGAAAACAAAGGTGAGGGCTTTAAAACCGAGGCAGGACTGTTGTGGGAGCCAATGTTGGTCAGTGGCACAGGCGGTGACCAGTGAATGGAGCTCAATCACATCCCCAAATCAATCAGATCTGACAAATTGCTGTTTGTGGAAGCTTGCTGTGTTTCCATTGGCCTTTATATCACAGTGACTAGACTTACAACATATTTAATTGGCTCAAAGTGCTTTGGGACATTCTGAAGCCATAAAAGTAGAAGCTTTTGCTTTTTTGAATCATACCAACAGTATAAATATTTCAATCACAATACCATCTTTCAAATCAACATCTGGGTCTGTGCGAGTCACAGTTTTCTCCCCAAATTGTTTCCTTTCCGATTCTCAGTTTTCCTAAAAGTCTGATTCCAAGGCCAACTTGCTTTATCTAATTTTTTTACTGTTTTCTTCATTCTTGTTCACTTCTGTTAATCTGTTTCTTTCATCTTAAATCACCATCTCTTTGAACTCAGCTATTTTGCTTCAGTTCTCATACTGCACTGTAAACTAATGTTTACTGTCACTCCAGACTCCACTGCCTTGTTATAATTATAAGGACACGAGAGATTAGAAAGGTCATTCGAACTGTTCAAATTCAGGTCTTGAATGTATTAACTCTCCCTCCATATCATCAGCAAGTGTCTTCCTGAAAATCTTGAAGCACTGCCTTCCTTGATTGATTATTCCAAGCATCTATCACTCTGGGAGTGAAGGTACTTTTTCAGATGTCGGGTGGAAATTAATCGTTACTCACTTCTATGTTCATCTTGAGGTAATATTCAATCTATCCCATTTCATATTTTATTTATCTTGATCAACACTCCCTTTAACTATTTTCTTGCCAGGCTTTCAACTTGAGTTTTGTTCTCGATAAACGTTCCTCGAGCGCAGCTCCTGTACAGACTTACTCTTCCCTCTAATTTCAGGGCATTCAGCCCATTGTACCAAGGCTACCTGTTTGAAAGAGCTACCCAATTAGTGGTCTAATTTCCCTATAGGGCTGCAAATACCCTGCTGGTATTTTTCCAATTCATGCTGTTGAAAATTCCTCTTGAATCTGTCTAGATCACAACAACTCACTGCTTAAACAAAACTCCTACTTCCACCACATCCTCCTTCACTTGTTCATTATTTTAAATCTTGTGTCCCTCTGGTTATCAAACATCCTGCAACTGGAGATGACTCCTCCCTATTTATTAAGCAAAAAACCTTTTGTAAATTTGAACATGCCTATTAAATATCTGAGGAAAGGTCACTGGACGCAAAATGTTAACTCTGTTTTCTCTGCACAGATGCTGCCAGATCTGCTGAGTTTTTCCAACTCATTTGCTCCTGCAATACTGCATTGGAATGTCAGACTAAACTCTTGCGCCTAACCTCCGGAGGAGGCCTGGAACCCCAAGTTAACTGATTCGAGTTGAGAAGGTAGCACCTAGTCAACCTTGGATAGGGACATGAGCTGAATGGTCCCAGGTGATTATTTACATTTCTGGGCAGGTAGGAATCGATCATGTGAAGGTGACTGGCTTTGAGTACAAGTGGACAGACCAGGTGCAGGATGGTGGGATTAGAATCAGCGACTAGTCCTTATTTTCCAACCCCAGTTGGGTTGAATCATCTCCTTCCCTGCTTCCACAGATTAGTGCTAGTCAATATTGTGCAGAAGCAGTCCATGTTCACATGCAACAAGATCTGGACAATATCCAGGCTTGGGCTGACAAGTGGCAAGTAACACTCACACCACACAAATGCCAGGCTATGACCATCACCAATAAGAGACAATCTAACCACTGCCCCTTGACTTTCAATGGTGTTACCATCACTGAATCCTCACTATCAACATCCTGTGGGTTACCATTGACCAGAAACTCAACTGGACTCACCACATAAACACAGGGGCTATGAAAGCAGGCCAGAAGCTAGGAATACTGAGGCAAGTAACTCACCTCCTGACTCCCCAAAGCCTGTCCACCATCTACAAGGCACAAGTCGGGAGTGTGATGGAATACTCCCCACTTGCCCTGGATGGGGGCAGCCCCAACAACACTCAAGAAGCTCGACACCATCCAGGACAAAGCAGCCGCTTGATTGGCACCACATCCACAAACATCCCACTCCCTCCACCACCGACGCTCAGTAGCAGCAGTGTGTACTATCTACAAGATGCACTGCAGAAATTCACCAAACATCCTCAGGCAGCACCTTCCAAACCCACGACCACTTCCATCTGGAAGGACAAGGGCAGCAGATATATGGGAACACCATCACCTCCAAGTTCCCCTCCAAATCACTCACTGTCCTGACTTGGAAATTTATCACCGTTCCTTCAGTGTCGCTGGGTCAAAGTCCTGGAATTTCCTCCGTAATAACATTGTGGGTCAATCCTCAGCACATGGACTGCAGTGGTTCAAGAAGGCAGCTCACCACCACCTTCTCAAGGGCAACTAGGGACGGACAAGAAATGCTGACCCAGCCAGCGATGCCCACATCCGACAAATGAATAGAAAAAAAAGAACAAAAACAAATTTGCTGGAAAAGTTCAGCAGGTCTGGCAGCATCTGTGAAGGAAAAAACAGAGTTAATATTTCGGGTCCGGTGACCCTTCCTCAGAACTGATGGCGGCTGGGAAAAGGTCAGTTTATATGCAGAAAATAGGGAGGTGGGTGGGGTAGGGAGTAAACGATACGATAGACCCCAAAGAGAGAGAAAGACAGTTGGACAGACAAAGCAGTTGCTAACGATCAGGCTGGGAGGGTGAACAGTTGTTAATGGGGACTGTTAGTGACTAACAACAGTGGGTGTGTAATGGCAGGCTATGTGGTAACAAGGCCTGGTGTGTGGGGTGAGGGGCTGGGACATGGGAGAGTTTAGGCCCTAAAATTATTGAACTCGATATTGAGTCCGGAGGGCTGTAGGGCCCCCAAGCGAAAAATGATGTGTTGTTCCTCAAAAGTGTTTGGTCTGTCTGTCTGCCACTTAAACAGTCAAAGCATCAACAGTTTAGAGCCCAGGAGGCTGACAGACAGATCCGTTAACAGACATCCCTGGAACTAAAAGCTGTAACCATAAGGAAGTTGATTAAGCAAACCATTCAGCCATTACAACAAGGTAATTTTCTTTCCTCTCACGCTCTGGTTCATTTCATCACTCAATTGTTAATCAGAAAAAGCAAGCCTTAGCTACATCCATTTTTTTTCACAGCTTCGCCTGTCCTCGCTTTCATTTGCAGGCCAGCCTACTCCATGATTCCAGATTGGATCCATTTGTTCGATATTAACAGTGGTCACCAACTGGAATCATTCAAAGGGATCATCGTTGTTTGAAAGAATGACGAGAGAATGATTCAGTGATATGCAGAGAGGCTTGGCAAAATCTTTCTTCCACAAACAGCTGAAACGGGAGGGCAGACTCAGTCACTCAGACCAGAATATTGGAGTTATTTATGGGAGAGGGCCTTTCACAACCCAAGGATGTGGTAAAAGTGTTTCACAGACAACCAGTCACTACAGTAATGTACAAAACATAGCAGGCAATTTACACAAAGCAAGCTCCCAAAAGCAACTAAATGTAGGACCATATCATCTGCTTTAGTGACACTGATTGAGGGATAAATCTTGTCCAAGACACCAGAGACCATAAGACCATAAAACATAGGAGCAAAAAAAGGCCATTCAGCCCATTGAGTCTACTCCGCCATTCAATCATGGCTGATAAGTTCCTCAATCCCATTCTCCTGCTTTCTCCCTGTAACCCTTGATCCCCTTGACAATCAAGAACCTATCTATCTCCATCTTAAATCTACTCAATGACCTGGCCTCCACAGCCTTCTGTGGCAGTGAGTTCCATAAATTCACCACTCTCTGGCTGAAGAAATTTCTCCTTATCTCCATTCTAAAAGGTCTTCCCTTTAATCTAAGGCTGTGTCCTCGGGTCCTAGACTCTCCTACCAATGGAAACATCTTCCCAACATCTACCCTGTCCAGGCCATTCACTATTCTGTAAGATTCAATTAGATCCCCCCCTCATCCTTCCAAAATCCACAAGGATAGACTCAGAGTCCTCAAACGTTCCTCATATGTTAAGCTTTTCATTCCTGGGACCATTCTCGTGAACCTCCTCTGAACCCGCTCCAGGACCAGTACATTCTTCCTGAGATATGAGGCCCAAAACTGCATTGAGTATAGGAGTTGGGAGGTCATGTTGTAGCTGTACAGGACATTAGTTAGGGCCACTTTTGGAATATTGTGTGCAATTCTGATCCCCCTGCTATAGGAAGAACGTTGTGAAACTTGAAAGGGTTCAGAAAAGATTTACCAGGATGTTGCCAGGGTTGGAGGGTTTGAGCTATAGGGAGAGACTGAAAAGGCTGGGGCTATTTTCCCTGGAGTGTCAGAGGCTGAGGTTTATAAAATATAGAGGTTTATAAAAGCATGAATGGCATGGATAGGGTGAATGGACAAGGTCTTTTCCCTGGGGTGGGGGAGTCCAAAACTAGAGGGGCATAGGTTTAAGGTGAGAGGGCAAAGATTTAAAAGGAACCTAAGGGGCAACTTTTTCACGCAGAGGGTGATGTGCGTATGGAATGAGCTGCCAGAGGAAGTGGTGGAGGCTGGTACAATTACAATACTTAAAAGGCATCTATATGGATACATGAATAGGAAGGGTTTAGAGGGATATGGGCCAAATGCTGGCAAATGGGACTATTTATTTGGGATATTAGGTCTGCATGGATAAGTTGGACCGAAGGGTCTGTTTCCATGCTGTACATCTTTATGACTCTAATTTTATCCCCTTCACCTCATCTGATCCAGTTCCACAATTGCTGAACATGTCCTATGATTGTATAACTGCCCCCAACTGCATTGGACACAGTGAAGGAAAGAGTCACTAAAATAGCTCCTGGGATGAGGAATTTCAAGTGTGATAACAGCTTGGAGAAGCTTTAGCTGTTCTCCTTGGAACAGGATATGTTGAGAGAAGGTTTTGGTCATGGTTTACAGTCAAGTGCGTCAGACAGAGTAGCTCAGGAGAAACTGTCCCCAGTGGTGGAAGGATCAAGAGCAATAAATGGGTTAAAGAAACAATGACCACACATGGAAAAACATAACAAGAAGCTGGAATTTGGTATGCAGCAGAAGACTGGAATCTGTGATACAGTGAGAGGCTGGAATCTGGGATATGGTGAGATCTGGAATCTGTGATGCAGTGAGAGGCTGGAATCTGTGATGCAGTGAGGGGCCGAAATCTGGGATACAGGCAAGAGGCTGGAATCGGGGATACAGAGAGATCTGGAATCTGGGACACAGTGCCTGAGAGTCTGTGAGAGCAAGGTTCCATTAAGGCAGTTAAGAAGAAATTGAAAAGAAAGACTACACAGGGCTATGTGGCAAAGGCTGTTGAGTGGCACTTGGTTATTTGCTCCTTCAGTGAGCCAGTACAGACTCAGAAGGCCGAGTGGCCTTTTTCTACACTGTGACCATTCTGTGATAGCATCACAGTCAGTTAGGGTCAATACATTCCTTGAACTGACAGGTGGGTCCACCTGCTCTTTCAACAGGAGAAAATATGGAGTTTCAGGTGCAAAGCAAGATACCCATTTCTAATTTGTGCTGGACCCTTCTGGAAGTGTTGGTGAGGAGAATTGTGAGAATACACTGGATTTATTTGAGGTCTTCAGAGAGATAGTAGGAGTTTTTGGAGGGAATATCCCGGCAGCTTTGTCACCATGAGGACAGTCATCTCCTGTCACTCACGCAGATACGAAACAGGAACTCAAGAGGAGGCCATTCAGCCCCTCGACTGCTGCTGCATCGTTCTGTAAGGTCTTGGCTGATCCTATTGCGTTGGGAATCCCACGTTCCCATCAACTCGCCTGTTGGACGGGAATCTATCCATCTTTTCAAAAAAAATTTCAACATCCCACCCCCCACATGAGGGTCCACAGGCACACACAGACCTTGGGGGGACAGAGAGAGATGGAGAGAGAGAATTTTCATATCTGTCATGAAAGGATGATTCCTTCCTCTCATTGTAAATCCATGACCTCCTTTCTCTCTCGTTTGGATTGACTCAAACTAGTAGAAATCCCATTGCATGTCCAGGCCACTTTTGGAATACTGCATACAATTTTCCTGCTACAGGAAGGATGTTGTGAAACTTGAAAGGGTTCAGACAAGATTTACAAGGATGATGAATCAGAGATAGTAGGAACTGCAGATGCTGGAGAATCCGAGACAACAAGGTGCAGGGCTGGATGAACACAGCAGGCCAAGCAGCATCATAGGAGCAGAGAGGCTGACGTTTCGGGCCTAGACCTTTCATCAGAAAAGGGGGAGGGGAAGGGGGTTTTGAAATAAATAGGGAGAGAGTGGGAGGCGGATAGAAGATGGATAGAGGAGAGGATAGGTGGAGAGGAAACAAACAGGTCGAA